TAGGCTACCCGCACCTCCCTACCAAATTTCAACTTGTCTTCAAAACTGTGGAAATGTATAAGGAACACACACACACACACACACACACACACACACACACACACACACACAGGAAGTCACTCCACACAGCTATACATAATTAATATAATATGCAAATCCTAATAACAATTTACTTGATAACTCAGATGACAGAAATTACAATATAATTATCTAAAATTAAATCCATATTATTAAAATTAAGCCATTTAATATTTGGCTCTAATTGCTGACATTCGCTAAACTTAATAATTAATTGTGATTAGTTATTAATATTCTTACATCAATCAGACTTAGTAAATTGATAAAGTCTTAGATATACCGTCCAACACCCTCTTAAGAACACCTCTATATACAGGCCAGTGTTCTGTTGGCACCGGGAGTTAATTAGGTAAAGTTGAGACGTAGTTAATTTCTAGAGGTCGTTAGTGAGGTAGAAATATACAGCTTACAAAATAACTAATAAATTCCTGTATCAAAAGTGATGGATTATCTGAATATTAGGCCCTGGCTTATCTCACGTTAAGATTAACCAGCTTAACACTAACGTAACCTAATATAACCTAAAACTAACCTAATCTAACACTAACCTACCCTAACACTAACCTAATCTAACCGAAAACTAACCTAATCTAACCTAACACTAACCTAATGTAACTTAACACTAACCTAGTCTAACCTACCCTAACACTAACCTAACCTAATCTAACCTACAACTTACACTAACCTAAACTAAACCTAACACTAACCTAACCTAACACTAACCTAACCTAATCTAACCTACAACTTAACCTAACCTAACCTAACACTAACCTAACCTAACACTAACCTAACCTAACACTAACCTAACCTAACACTAACCTAACCTAACACTAACCTAACCTAACACTAACCTAACCTAACACTAACCTAACCTAACACTAACCTAACCAAACACTAACCTAACCTAACACTAACCTAACCTAACTTTACATAACCCCTCTAGATAGAGTTACAGTGTACAGTTACCAGATGGAAAAAAAGTAAGGGGGGTTAATCTTCAGGTGATATAAAGTAATTAAGTTAAAACCATAATGTACAGAAATATAAAATGAATTAGTTTATACTCGATATTTTGTACTGGAAGAGAAGGATGTTCATTCATTCCGCCACGACTGTCTTGTGAGAACGTATATTATATTACCTCAAGGGTGACTGACACTTGTCCACACAACAATATCTGTAACCAGGAGCCAGCTGACGATTCTTAACGAGAATTTTCTAAACTTTGAGGTCACCTTCATCGTCTCCGGCAGGTCGTCAGGCGGAACTGTGATACTGTTTACTTCTACAGTCTCTTCGTCATGGCAGTGTCACACTCAGCCCCGCCCAGCAACATGGTTTTGTGCCTAGATAATGTGGCAGTTATCTCCGTGGAAGGAAATTTTAGTCAGTCTACAGCACTTCATTAATTGGCCAATCACAAGCCAAGACGAGAGAAAGAGGGCGTAGCTATTTGACATTTCCATAATAAACAGACTGTAGCTTTTGTTAATTTAATGTTTTTCTGATCTGGCTTATATACAGTGTTCTCCATGCACGAGGAGCAGTTTTGCCCCTAAGACAGTCAATGAGCAAAATGATTTAGTCAACCCTTGTCATAACACGAAAACGTAAAACTTTAACAGAAAACGAACCTCATAACATTTGAGTTATGAAAACGGAAGGAAGATGAATCACAGGAAATGTTTAGCATGCCGTGGTGAGTATGATGAATGCTAGTGAAGGATGATGGATGATTAGCATGCTCAGAGAGGCGTGAGGAATGACCGGGAGGAAGAAAGAATAAGAGATGAAGGGAGGTGGAGTCAGTGTGTGTTGAAGATTTTTTTTTTTACGGGGACTATCCCATCCGGGCACAGGTCATCGACCCACAACGGAGTCTAGGGGGCGAAAAATAAAAGTACAAATAAATTAAAAATAGAAAAGAAAAAGTCTACATTAATCTACACCTCGAAGATGCCGGAGAACCATCTTTTTGAAGTGAAACAGATTGCAAGAGTATGGAAAAACAGAAGAAGGCAGAGCATTCCACAGTTTGGTTGTGTGACGAAAGAAGGATGTACTATAACGGGTTATTATACTGTAGTGTGACCGACATCCACAGAGAAACGGTGGGCACCGCGGGCAAAACGTGTGTTACGAACCCACGGCCTTGCCAGCGGCACACAGGATGCCAAATCCACCGAACATTGCCCGTTAAAGTACCTGTAAAAGAGAGAGAGTGAAGCAACATTGTGGTGAAGAGAAAGTGAAGGAAGATTGTCAGCTAAAGGAGAGTTAATAAGACGAAATGCCTTTGATTCCACCCTATCTAACAGTTGGGCAGAAGAAGAGCCACCCCAGATATGAGAGCAGTACTCCAAGTTAGGACGAATGAATCCTTTATATACTTGAAGCAACTTCTCATGAGTGAAGTAGCTACGGCATCTGTACAGCATTCCCAGCTTTCGGGAGGCAGCTTTAGCAATGTTGTGGATGTGTGGCTTCCATGACATATTAGAGGAAATGGTGAGGCCTAGCATATCTATTTTAGAATTTGGCAGAATGATTGCATCCTGAAATGTGATTGGTGGGAGATCATCTAATTTGGAAAGTGTAATTGAATTTAACCAAGTTTCTACCTCCCAATTCGGAGATGCTGCACAGATCCGCATTGATAGATTTAATTATATACTCTAGAAACAGATCTAGTTTGAGAATTAGAAGGAAGGGGAAAATGTGAAGAAGAGTGCGAGTTAAAGTAGAAATACTTCGCTGCGTCAAATTAAATTCCGTAAATTCCGAGACGATATAATAACTCTAGATCATAATGACGGAAAATGCTGATCATGAAAGTCATCTAATATCTCGTGTATGCAGATTAGTTTATTTGTTGTGGAATCCATAGTAATTTGAGTCATCCTTTCTTCAGCTTCCAGACAGACGTAAGCACCGACGCAAGAAGGGAACGAAGATACAAACGCAAGGGGACACAAGCATAATAATAATAATAATAATAATAATAAAACCTTCAGCTCTAAACTCTTATACCCAACAGAATCATTTAAGAATATCCAATTTTCCAATACTAACGCGAAAAGTATATAAGCCTTAATACCCCTGGCAGCCATCTCAGCTATTCCCAATTGCTTTCGGCTACTTGGAAATAGAGACAATCCTGCGGGTGTGTGTAGGAGCGGATGAAGTTTTTCGGCTGCAGAGAAGAAAAAAAAAAAAACGCGTCCATCCTCCACAATGGTCGGGGGCGCACTGACGTCATGTGATTAGAAAGAGTATATTTAAACTGGTGTAATTCTTCAAAATTGACATTATCCTCGATTTTGTTGATGTGTGTTTGTGTGTTTCAATAACTAACTTGTTTTTTTAGTACGTATGTAGAGTTGGTTCGTAAAAAAGGTAAAAAAAAATATTGAAAATTTGCTGTTTGTTGTTGTCGTTGTCCACGCACACACATACAAAACACAGACAGACAGACAGAGAGTATCTACAAACAGCCACCTGACCAACATTGAACCCCTGAGCTGACCCGCTAAACTTACGAGGTAACCTGTGGTCAACTCACATACCAGAGGACAGACGATACATTCCCAAGACACCAGCGAGGAACACATCTCTCCCTTGTCTCCCGCTTCTCTTTACTCCTCTTACATAAATTCTGGTGGTGAGTCTTTGTAAACAGAGGCGGGGACAGCTGGACACACTCACCAGAACTAAATATAAAAATGTATTCAAAGTTTATTGATTAGGTGGAGATGTTATACAAGAGAGAGAAATTATTTTCCCCGTTAGTGGACTGTTGGTGATGATAACCCATTGGTGTTTATACAGTGAAAATAACTGTGTTCTTTATGTCTTTTAGGAGGTTTTTGGGATAACTGTCTGGTTGATCTAGAAAGGTTAATTCTTATTTAAACTACTTATGATTCTTGAACTCTTAAGTTAATTCAAGTTTAAGAATAGAGCTCAATGGATGATAATAACAAGTCTTCAGTACACAAGGAGGCAAAATGTCCGGTACTGTACTCGACCGCCTTCACTTCCCCAACTGTAAAATAAGGTTACCATTAACAACTAGGTAAGATGGGGAGGGGGGGGGGCGTGAACCAACGACCCTTAAAAATAGAGTCGAGCTTTGTATCCATTAAGCCACCGCCGCACTAATGTAGACTAATGACGTTCCTCTGCGTCTCTCAAGACTCGCCTGTGGGTGTCCATGTTCTGTCTCGCGTTAACAAAGACATGTGAGAGTTTTAACACGTTGCTGAGATCTAACAAGACTGCTGGAAATTAACAACGACTCAACACAAGGACTCAACTTACAAGGGGTGCGGCAGCTGAGTGAATACAGCACTCAGCTTTTAACCTAAAGAGCACTGGTTCGATACTGTGGCACTCCCAGTAAACCCAGCTGTAAATGTGTACCTTACTTTACAGTTGGGGTAGTGAAGAGGGTCGACTGCAGGTCCGGTACCGAAGGCTTAGTATTATCATCCACTGAGTCGTATTCCTACAGCCCTGAGTGGACCGCCAGGCCAATGACACCCACGTACATGTTGGTTTTAGTACAGAAGTTATAGTATGACTTTGCGACTCTGATGAATAGAATACTTAACTATTGTGTTGTACTTAACCCGTGTTACGATAAAATTAATGTTCATCCATAAAAATATTGGAAAGTTAGGGATTATATTCACTCCTCCTTACATGAGAGAGAGAGAGAGAGAGAGAGACCCCTTGTGTGAGTTAATCAAATGTTATTCGGGAGGTAGAACTCAGACAGACAGACAGACAGACAGACAGATAGACACACACACACACACACCTGATTTGCCTTCCCTCAATCCACCTGTCCGTCAACACGATCACCTGGACGATATGCAAATGGTGGTCCGTCACGCTGGTTACAACAAAGGTGTCCCTTGATGAATGCTGAAACACCTGAGGCTTCACCACCTGGCCAGGACTCACCGGCCAGCTGCATCAGGCCACTCAACTGTTATCTGGCCACTCAGTTGTTATATGACCATCAAATTGAATCTAGGCCTGAGTGAGTGTCTTGTATATATTTTGTTTACATGGAGGAGAACACACACACACACACACACACACACACACACACACACACACACACACACACACACACACACACACACACACGTATCAACAAGCTAAACCACACCACCACACTACCAGGTGTTCTCTACAGAATATTCAAAAGGTGTATATGTTTTTCAAGGTATCTTATTTGTTGTTACATCCTTATTATTACGTGTGAGAGAGAGAGAGAGAGAGAGAGAGAGAGAGAGAGAGAGAGAGAGAGAGAGAGAGAGAGAGAATTAATATCTGCATTGCAAGCTTATTATTTATTCCCTGCCTCTTGTTGTGTGGACAATAACAAAAACAACAACAACAACAACAACAACAACAGCAACAATAATAATAATAATAATAATAATAATAATAATAATAATAATAACAACAACAATAAACTCTCCACAGTATATAATCAACATAAAATTGGAGACTAATTTTAAGTCTCGTCAAAAAAACAACAACAACTGTACACAAAAATTTCCTAGAGTCAGCCAGGAGTTTGAGAGACTTTGATTACTGTTCAAGTTTCTATACATTAATACTTGTACATAATTAAAGAGATTGTTAAGTACATAAACTACGAGGGCTTTAGTTAATTTTTTTTTGCTATGTACTGTATATTTAGTTTTGTTTATTTTCTTACGAGTTTTTACAGGGGTGTGGCTGGTGTGGACGGGGATGTGGCTGGTGTGGACGGGGATGTGGTAGGTTTGGATGGGGATGTGGTAGATGTGGACGGGGGTGTGACAGGTGTAGACGGGGGTGTGACAGGTGTAGACGGAGGTGCAGTAGGTGTGAACGGGGATGTGGTAGATGTGGACGGGGGTGTGACAGGTGTAGACGGAGGTGCAGTAGGTGTGAACGGGGATGTGGTAGATGTGGACGGGGGTGTGACAGGTGTAGACAGGGATGTGACAGGTGTAGACAGGGGATGTGACAGGTGTAGACGACAGGTGTGTACAGTAGGTGTGAACGGGGATGTGGTAGATGTGGACGGGGGTGTGACAGGTGTAGACGGAGGTGCAGTAGGTGTGAACGGGGATGTGACAGACTGGGAGATGTGGACCTGAGTGTCAGCGTAGGTTGTGGTGACTGACAGACAAAGGCAAGTTGATGTCAGTTGGTCAGCCATTGTTGTGTGTGTGTGTGTGTGTGTGTGTGTGTTAGCAGGCACCATCCTTGTGTGGAAAGTTAGTTATCAGATCTACATGTAAATACATTTATTTTCATGAATAATGTATATAAACAAGTCTTTTTATATGTATTTATATTGATATCTACAACCAGGCATGATATGTAAATTTAGAGAAATATTTACATATACTTTAAAATACACGTACACAGTCGGTGCAGCGAAGAATGACAAAAATGATTCCGGGACTTAGAAGCCTTCCATATCAGGGTAGGTTAAAGAAACTTAACTTGCATTCCCTAGAAAGACGAAGAGTGCGGGGAGATATGATAGAAGGAATTAAGTGGGTGAAAGGAATCAATAAAGGGGATATAGATAAAGTTCTTATAATATCCGAGCAGGATAGGACTCGTAGCAACGGATTTAAGTTGGATAAGTTTAGGTTTAGGAGGGAGATAGGAAGAAACTGGTTCACAAATAGGGTGGTGGACGAGTGGAACAAGCTTAGCAACTTTGTAGTAAGTGCTGGAACTCTGGAAAGTTTTAAAAGGAGGCTAGATAGATTCATGGATGATAGAGAGTGGTAGTAACTCGACAGGATCTGCCGTGCACAGGACAACCGGCCTAGTGCAGACTCCTTATTTTCTTATGTTCTTATGTTCTTATGTTCTTATGTTCTTATATACATTAATTTCTAGAAATATATGTGTGTATATGACGAATTTAAGTAGTATATATACATTTTCATAATTATCAGTGTATAACTCAGTCGAATATACACTTTGTATGGTACAGTAGAGAAGACAAACGTTTACTCACATCACCTGTAACTAGTAATGTTATTAATGAATCATTGTTCATCGTCTCAGTGTTAGAAAAATTAACAAAATTAATTTATTCTTGTTGAAATACTGTTAAGTTATACTGTGTTGTTGTTGTTGTTGTTGACGATGATTGTTGTTGTTTTTTGCTTATTATTATTATTATTATTATTATTATTATTATTATTATTATTATTATTACTACTACTACTACTACTACCACTACTACTACCACTACGACTACTGCTACATCATTTCAATTATTAAAATATAAAACAATAAATATGCCACACAAACTATATATTACCTATTGTTAGTCTTTATATATTACCAAATATTCTAAACTCCTTTCAAAAAATGGATTCACAATGTATGTATAAAATTTACATACTTATTCACGCTGGCTGACTCACAAATGAATGATGAAAATATTTATAACTGAACAAGGATTTTCGTATAATAATGTGTCACTCTGAAGGTCTCGTGTCTATTTTTCTCGTACGTCAGATTTGGGTTAATTTTTATGTATATTGCAAATTAAAGTTAGGTTAGATTTTGTAGGTGATTTTTCCTCATTTATAGTTTAATTTTTTGGATCACCTGAAAATTATCCCTCTAGTTTATTTCACTCAAAGATTAATCACCCAAATGCTCGTCTAGTCTATCCTAACCTAACCTAACTTGACCAAACCTAACATAACCTAACCCAAAGATTAACCACCGTAACCTAACCTAACCTAACCTAATCATCTCCCCAAAACACTATCAGGTTGGTTAATCCTTACATCAGGGTTGACCAAACTCATGTAACTGGATCAAATTTTTCTATGGTTATCGAAACGTGATCCATTAGCACAATTTTCCTAACTTCCAGCAGATAATGGATAGATTTTGGGTCTTGAGAGATACATGAAGAACTATCGAATATTCATAAAGCAACATACAATCAAACCAAACCATCAAACTCGGTGTTGGAATCATTTCAATCAAGAGTCATATTGAACTACACAATTTCGTAACCACCTCTAAAATAAATAATAATAATAATAATAATAATAATAATAATAATAATAATAATAATAATAATAATAATAATAATAATCTTCAGTAATGGAATTAAAAAGGGAGGAAGTTTAAATCGGTTAGGCTCCAAGCTTTCAATGAGAGCGTATGAGTTGAACGCTACTAGAAATGTTAGCTGGTGTTTACTGTTAGCTTGTGTTTAATGTTAGCTTGCGTTTAATGTTAGCTTGTGTTTAATGTTAGCTGGTGTTTCATGTTAGCTTATGTTTAATGTTAGCTGGTGTTTACTGTTAGCTTGTGTTTAATGTTAGCTGGTGTTTACTGTTAGCTTGTGTTTCATGTTAGCTTGTGTTTAATGTTAGCTGGTGTTTACTGTTAGCTGGTGTTTAATGTTAGCTTGTGTTTAATGTTAGCTTGTGTTTACTGTTAGCTTGTGTTTAATGTTAGCTTGTGTTTAATGTTAGCTTGTGTTTAATGTTAGCTTGTGTTTAATGTTAGCTTGTGTTTAATGTTAGCTTGTGTTTAATGTGGAAGCTGGGAAGCGGTGAAAAACTAAAAGAATAACTACCAAAACAAAAACAGCAAAAACAAAAACAAAAACACCACCAATAAACACAGCAACAACACGAATGTTTATTAAAGACACTCGGGCAAAACACATTTCGCAACATTTCCCGAGTTTTAGGATTTTCGCGTCAAAATCAATTGCCAGGTGAAGCTTTAGGTTAGGTGATGTTTCTTGTATAGTAAAATAGCTTTAGGTTAGGTTGGGATGGGTATAGGGCAAATAGGATAGGTTAGGTTAGTTAAGGTTAGGTTGGGATAGGTTAGATTAAGATAGGTTAGGTTAGTTAAGGTTAGGTTGGGTTGGGATGGGTTAGAATAAGATAGGTTAGGTTAGTTAAGGTTAGGTTAGGTTGGGATAGGTTAGGTTAGTTAAGGTTAGGTTAGGTTGGGATAGGTTAGAATAAGATAGGTTAGGTTAGTTAAGGTTAGGTTGGGATAGGTTAGATAAAGATAGGTTAGGTTAGTTAAGGTAAGGTTAGGTTGGGATGGGTTTGAATAGGATAGGTTAGGTTAGTTAAGGTTAGGTTAGTTAATGTTAGGTTAGGTTAGTTAAGGTTAGGTTATGTTGGGATGGGTTAGAATAAGATAGGTTAGGTTAGTTAAGGTTAGGTTAGGTTAGGATGGGTTAGAATAGGATAGGTTAGGTTAGATTATATTAGGTTACAATAGAATAGGCTAGGTTAGAATAGGATGTTATGTTATGTTTCCAAAAATCCAATTCTCGGTCATCACCAGAGACAACGTGATTAAATTTGTCCGGACAATAAGTCCCGCCTTAAACCACATAATAATAAAAAAAAAACATAATAATAACACTACCAAAACTAAAAAACTAAAAAATAAAATGTAATAAACAAATACTAATACAATGGTTAAGTTAATAAAGAATGTCTGAGAACATTATTATAGTAGTGTGAGAAACTTCCATTAAAAGAATATGCTGTTTACTTTTTCCCTTTTTTCGTACAGAAGAATAAATATGAGACAATGATGTTAATAAGGAATAATAGACCTTAACAACTTACTGTCCTACTACACTAAAGAAACCAACAGAGCCTTGATGGAAGGATTAAAATACGATGAGGAAATTATAAAAGAATTAGACACCATCAGAGCGAAGTAACGTAGTCACCGCTGCAAAACTGCCTCATGTCATCTTTTTCTATAACTCCCACAAGCTTACTAGCAAATATTTAGTCCTAAGCAAATTTTGTCATCTATGCAAATTTATTAATACACGAACTTATTCATCAGCTGCTAATTTATTCACTACCTTCCTCCATTATCATATTGAGTGCCAGTACATAGTGTGAAATAACCATTCAAGCAGACGTCAAAGGCATGTAATGGGAAACCGAGGCAATATTAGGGGTGTGAGTGTGTGTGTGTGTGTGTGTGTGTGTGTGTGTGTGTGTGTGTGTGTGTGTGTGTGATGGATAATGATACAAGTTACATCACTGGTAAGGTTCACACAGGCACCATCTAATTCACCACCTGTTAGTTTAGACCCGATGTGTGGGTGTTCAGCTGAATGGCCTATTAGTGTTGGTAGGATTTAATATGAAGCGGGAATTAGTTGCTTTGGGTGGCCTAAACAGATCAGCGCTGCTTATTACCTAGATATCATAACATTACAGTATGAAAGACGCTAGTAGCTTTGTATTGTAAATATCACCATCGCGATAGCCTAGTACAATATCCCAGAGACCTCGAGCCTAATGTCGAGCTAAACCAATTACAATTTCCACAAAACAGTTTACTAAGTATTACTATTACCAACAAATATTACCATTTATTTACTCAGCCTCAATATTTTGATCTCTACTGAAAAATGAGTTTACTTGATAATAGTCGTTTTTGGTACCGGGGATGTTGAGTGTAAGGCAAAACATGAACCTAGAGTAGGGACGGCTGACAACACGAGGCACCACTTAATATTCTCAGCTCGCCCTTTCGTAAGTGATGTAGCTTTTGCATCGTGACGTGGGGAAAATTCAGGTTAAGTAAATATATTCAGTATAACGATGTAAGTGGCAAGTGTGTAATAAATTATTCTCCAAACATGAAGCAGGTGTGTACTTTCAACAGTCAGCCTTGTTGACTTTCCCTCTAGAAGAATGAGCTTTTTCGTGCCTGCAGTTTACACAATGCATTATGAATCATACAATTTTTGTATTGCACAAACTCTTGATTATGCTAAAATTATTCTATGCACAGTTAAACATTTCTTAACTTTTCTCGCGTGAGGGAGGAGGAGGAGACAAATTACCTGTGTTTAGCGTCTCACAGTGAGCGCGATACTGCCTTCGGAGCTTGTATGTACAGGCGTTTATATCGTGTCCATGGGTCTAAAAATCAGTGTCGTGCCAACAATTAATCTCTAGACTTAAAAATGTACAATAAATCATATGTGTTGAGGAGGTACAACTTCCCAACCCACTCGACTCCAAACACGTGTACAGCACATACGTCGTCCAACCGAGTGAAAAATCTTTTATCATAACACGGGGTAGATCTTTTGAAGTTA